TTTAAATACAATTTATTATATTTGTACAACCAATGTAATTCAATTAATTGAGATATTTATAGAAATGATAATAGTTCATTTATTATGATTTAAATATTTATGAAAGATTACTAACTTATTAATTATGATCAATATTTTATATTATAAAACAATCAAAACTTTTATGAAATCATACTCCACTTTTATATTTAAAATTATATTTTATTTTTATATTTAATTTATTTTATTATATTTTTTGTTTTTAAGAGTCAAATTAATCAACTAAAATTTTATATTTAAGTTTATTGTAATCTGGATGTTTATAGAATATGATCAATGTTCATTCATTTATTATCAACACTTTAAATTAGTAAACAATCAAAATATTTATAAAATCGAATATTTATTAGATTAGATGGACGATTCATATTGATGTGTATGGTCTGTATGAATTGAGAGGTTTGTAAATGACTGAGACTCATGAGGGACTGTTTGGTTGGTTTTTCATTAAGTCATATATAGATGAATTAATCTTGTCTATACAAATTTGAAAGATTTTTGTTTGAAAGAGTTTTTCATAAATGAAAAGAGCATGTTTTTTTTACTTGAGAGAGCTTTTTTTGAAATAAAAAAAAAAACTTGACTTTTTGCATAAAGTTTTCCTTAAAAGCGTACTGAATAAGTCATTTTCTAAATCATTAAGACATTACCCAATACTCATGTATAAATGACTAAATAATATATGAGTCCCCGATAAACTCATTAAACTGCTAACCAACAAATCTTAAAAGACAGTTCCAATATTCAAACATCTTTTCAAAAGTTCATCATGACACTACTTTAAAATTTTAAAATTAAATGAAAAACCAAAATTGTTGTCATACACCAAAAATTCTCAAAAGTCAAATCTATCTATAAGTGAGGGGTTGTTTATCAAACACTTATCTAGTAAACACATATCGGTAAAATTTAACATTATCATTTACTTACTGGGTAAGATTTTAGTCAACAAAAACGATATCATATGCAACAATTTACCCGATAAGCGCTAGTTGTGGAAAAACCATTGCTCTTACTTGCCGGGTAAGACTCTCAGTCTTTGTCTCGCTCTTACCAGATAAGATTCTTGGTCTTTGTCATATTCATCTGGTAAGGTAATTTAATTTAGTAAGCGCTTATCCGGATAAGAATTTGGTAAACGACCCCAAACAAAATAACATGATATACTGTATAAATATAACAATAAATTCTAAAATACGTTTCGATTAGTTGTATATAAATAGAGTGGATAGTTGAGGTAATTATGTATTTATAGAACTTATTGATATAAAACACTGAAATTACTAATAATTTTGAGCTTTTTCAAAAAAGATCAACTGTGATGATATTTAATACAAATAAATACTGTGTATGCATCATAAAAATAGACCCTAAAGCTAACGAGCATGAAGGTCCCATGTCCTATCAGCTATAAACGAAGCACAAAATAGAAAGTCAAATGGTGATTGTGGTTGTCGACTCTCGTTAACGTGTAAAACAATGAACCAATCGACATTAATGATGTGTCGCAACGTAGGGCAATGGATGTCATCTGATTTTCTGTCACAACAATGTAAATAACGTGTAGCTCAGTTGGCAAATAAGTAAAGTGATTCTATATAAATACAAAACAGATCTTCTTCTTTTTGATTAACTTGATATACAACTCGCTATGTAAGTCGACTAATCTCAAGTACGATCTACAAAGCTATATCTGTTATTGGCAAATAAGTAAAGTGACGTTATATAAATACAAAAGGGTAAATTGTATGAAAAAAAAATAACATACCTTAACTTGGTTCCTCTTTTGGATAACGTACTTTCAAAACTTTTATTTTGGTATCTAAGATGTAAAGTTTTAAACATTAAGTAGACGAGTAACTAGTTGAAGAATTAACCGATTATCATACTGATGTGACGAGTAATGTAGTAATCAACTCAGTTGATGAACTCTTCTTCCTACTTAAAATATTCAAATTATTGCATTTTTTAATTCAAAAAAATATCATTATTAATAGTATCTATACTATCTTATAAAGCATTTGGCTAAAACTCTTTAAAACTCTTAAACTCGATCATCCTTATCCGATTTTAGCCCTATCCGATTTCATCTCATATCTGAATTCGTGTAACTAACTGCAGATAAACACAATCAAATACAGGATAAACATCTTATTTTAAATATAAAAAATCTAAAATATAATTAGTATAATCATTGAGTTCTAACAGAATACTTAATTATTATCTTTATAAAATTTATA